ATCGATAGTGAGATCGATGTGGTGCCCGAAATGTCCCGTGGTGTCCCAAAAAGTGAGATCGATAATGAGATCCATACTGAGATCGACAGGTGTTCCGTGGTGTCCCAAAAAGTGAGATCGATAGTGAGATCGATGTGGCGCCCCGAGGTGTCCCGTTGAGTGAGATCGAAAGTGAGATCGATAATGAGATCGATACTGAGATCGATGTGGTACCCGAGGTGTCCCGTGGTGTCCCAAAAGGTGAGATCGATAGTCTGATCGATATTGAGATGGACCGGTGTTCCGTGGTGTCCCATGGTGACCCGTTGAGTGAGATTGATAGTGAGATCGATAGTGAGACCGATAGTGAGATCGAGAAGTGTTCCGCGGTGTCCCGTGGTGTCCCGTGATGACCCGTTGAGTGAGATCGATAGTGAGATCGACAAGTGTCCCGTGGTGTCCCGTGGTGTTCCGTTGAGTGAGATCGATTGAGTCAGATGTTGGTTCCCCCCCCTCTCTCTCTGTCTCTCTCTCTCTCTCTCCCCCCACACAAATTCCTTATCACCCGAAGGGTGGTCGTATAGGTATGATATTATAGCTTCGTCGACGTGGTCATGAACAACTATTTGGGAACGCCAAACCGACGTGGTGCATTGCACATGGGCCGCCGAATGTCCGGTATTCGGGCCATAATAGAAAAAGGGCCCAAGGATACACACACCAAATACACACACACATCCCAGGGCTCCACATCTTTCTCCATACTTATGGACTTTTCGTCTCCCTCCCCCTCCACTTCTAATGTTCTCCCATATCTCCCGGGGGAATCGACGACTCTTCGTGTCCAAGGGCTCCCAACTTCCCGCTCCGCGCCGCGCGAAGCGCGAATAACCTCGCGCCCTCGCGCCGGCTCCCAAGGGGGGGAGGCGGAGGAGGAGGAGGAGGAGGAGGAGGAGGAGGAGGAGGAGGAGGAGAACTCGGAGGAGGAGGAGGGGGAGGAGGCGGAGGAGGAGGAGGAGGAGGAGGAGGAGGGGAGGGGGGAGGAGGAGGAGGAGGAGGAGGAGGGAGGAGGAGGAGGGAGGAGGAGGAGGAGGAGGAGGAGGAGAAAAAGGAGGCGGAGGCGGAGACATCGGAGCCGCACCGCGAGGCGCGAGGAGCTCCGCGCCCTCGAGGGCGCGCTTGCCTGCGCTGCTCCCCTCCCCGCCGAGCTCCGGGCCTCCGACGGCCGCGCCCGGGGCCATCCCCCCGGAAAGCAGGCCCTCGCCGGGGGGCGCAGTCGCCGGAGAGAGCCTCCTCCCGCGAGCCTGCAGATGCAGTCGAGGTGCTGCCAGGAGGAGCGAAGTGCGAATGGCTTCGCGCTCTCGCGCCGCCTCCCGGGGGGGAGGAGGGGAGGAGGAGGAGGAGGAGGAGGAGGAGGAGGAGGAGGAGGAGGAGGAGGAGGAGGAGGAGGAGGAGGAGGAGGAGGAGGAGGAGGAGGAGGAGGAGGAGGAGGGAGGAGGAGGAGGGAGGAGGAGGAGGAGGAGGGAGGAGGGGAGGAGGAGGAGGAGGAGGAGGAGGAGGAGGAGAGGGAGGAGGAGGAGGAGGAGGAGGAGGAGGAGGAGGAGGAGGGAGGAGGAGGAGGAGGAGGAGGAGGCGGAGACATCGGAGCCGCACCGCGAGGCGCGAGGAGCTCCGCGCCCTCGAGGGCGCGCTTGCTTGCGCTGCTCCCCTCCCCGCCGAGCTCCGGGCCTCCGACGGCCGCTCTCCCGGGGCCATCCCCCCGGAAAGCAGGCCCTCGCCGGGGGGCGCCGCCGCCGGAGAGAGCCTCCTCCCGCGAGCCTGCAGCTGCAGTCGAGGTGCTGCCAGGAGGAGCGAAGTGCGAATAGCTTCGCGCTCTCGCGCCGCCTCCCCGGGGGGGAGGGGGAGGAGGAGGAGGAGGAGGAGGAGGAGGAGGAGGAGGAGGAGGAGAGGGAGGAGGAGGAGGAGGAGGAGGAGGAGGAGGAGGAGGAGGAGGGGACATCGGAGCCGAACCGCGAAGCGCGAGGAGCTTCGCGCCCTCGAGGGCCGGAGGGCCTCCTCCCGCAGCCTGCAGATGCGGTCGAGGTGCTGCCAGGAGGAGCGCCAAAGAAGGAACAAAACGGGCTCTTCTGGCCACGGTGGGCCTAGGCGTAGGTCGGGCCTGTCCCCCTACAGGGGGATTTTCGACGAAAAATAAAAAGATACCCCAAACATACACCAAAAAGGCCAAACAATATTCAAAAAATAGTCCCCAGACTATTTGTGGACTATTTTTTGATTATGTTTGGGGTCTTTTGTATTTTTCATTGAAAATTCCCCTGTAGGGGGACAGGCCCGACCTAAACCTAGGCCACAAGCAACTCCCGCGACATAAATCTAAGACATGACCCAAATCCCCGAGCCCCTTCCGAACCCAAAGCGGTCCTGATTTCAGCGTCTTGGCTGTAGGAGAAAAGCCGCTGCGCAGTACCGACGCGCGCGCCCGAAGATGCCTCAGGCCCCCGGGGGGCGCGCTGCGGTGCCGTGCCTCTTCTCAGGGCTGAACCTAAACGGTGCTCTTCATTTTCGTTTTCCCTCGTCTTGTCTTCCATCCGCCGACCGCGAAACGACGTCGAAACGAAAACGGCCCACGAAATCGCCCAAACACCGTTTTAGGTCCAGCCCTGCCCCTTTCCTCCCGCCCCCTCGCCGAAGCGCAGCTGCTGGAGAGCCTCCCGAGCCTGGGAAAGCCACCGGGCACCGACGCAGGCGTCCGAGAACACGGGGCCCATGGGGACGCGCGGGGGCCTTGGAGCGCCAACCCGCAACTCAGAAGGATGCGCAACGAGGACGCAAAAGGCCTCGGCAGGCCATCTCGAAGCTTGTTTCGAGCGGAGCGCGGCCAGCGGAAGTGGCGAAGGATATGGGCCGAGGAGGCAAGGAGGCGAGGGTATCCTGGGGAAGGCTGCCCGTCCTTCTTGTGCAGTTTGACCGTGCGACGATGACGATGACGATGATGACGATGATCGTCATCGTCATCGTCATCGTCGTCGATCGTCATCGTCATCGTCTTTCCTCCCCCGAGGCTCCCGCCCCATCTCGGGCATGCCGAGGAGCAGCCGGTCGTCCTGGAGCGCCGCCAGCTGGTCGGTCACGGCCTCCACCTCCGCCCAGAAAGGCCCGTCGGCGGCGCAGAGCGCGGGCAGGCGGCGCGCCAGCGAGTTGAGCACCGCCAGCGCGTCCCGCAGCGCCTGAGAAGGAGCTGGGGCAGGGACAACGTCTAGGAAGGCACCAACTATACACCAACACCAATCCTGGCCAGGATCACCCTGGGCCCAGGATCGGTGTATACGCCCTCCTGCCTTGCGCAAGAAGGCATATACACCGATCCTGGGCCCAGGGTGATCCTGGGCCAGGATCGGTGTTGGTGTATAGTTGGTGCCCTCCGAACGTCGGAGGGGGATGCGAGAGGACGAGGGTGATGTCATGATGGGATGGCTCAGGGTGCGCTGCGCGATGTCCAGAGTGCCTCAGCGGCCCTCGCTTCTGCAGACCGTGTGGAGCCTTCGGAAGCGCCTGGGAAATCCCGGAAATCATATAACGCGTCTTCATCACCTGCTCCGCAAAGATGCATCGGGGATCTCTGAGACCCGGAGGCGATGGAAGATGCATCGGGCGCCGCGGCCTTCTCGGAGCGTTCCGGAACGCTCATGGGAGCGTCTCTGAACGTTCCGGAAAGATTCATCCGTCCTGTACTGGGATCGCCGCGGGAGTTGCTAAGTGGATAGGGGGGTTATAAGTGGATGCCAAGGTGGGTTATATCTGGCCCACCCTGGCTTACAAGTGGGCTATACATGCCCCAAATAGCTTAGGGAGGCTAGCGATCCGGGCTACGTGGGCTCCATCCACGTAGCGGAGTGATCCATCCCCCCACTTAGCGGGTGGGGCCAACTATAATCCACCTTAGTATCCACTCGGGATCATCCCGCTATCCACTTCTAGAGAAGAAACATCGACATTAACATAGACTTTTGGCGCCGCTCCAGCGCGGATCCAAGAAGTCCCCGCGAAGCTCCAACAATTTGTGCTTACGACGTTTATGTTCTCCTTCGAACTCAGCCCCCCCCCGCGGCCGTCCCAGCAGCCCCGCCCGTTTGGATGCCCGACATGGGTACGGAAAAGAAATAGGCACAATGCCCAACAACAAATGTTGCCCCAAACTAACAGCGGCCGCTGCTGGGCACGCGGCCTTTTCTGTCTCAAATGTCCACAGGCCGAGGCGACACCGACCGCGAGCCCTGTTCCAAAACGAGCAGGAGCTGCTCTTCCTCCCTCCTCCTCCTCCGCCCTTATCCCCCTCCATCCTCCACCTCCTCCTCCTCCTCCTCCTCCTCCTCCTCCTCCTCCTCCGCCCGCTCGCTCGTGCCGAGCCCGAGCGCCGGCGCCAGGCACTGCGCCCAGTCCCGGCCCGAGGTGAGCGGCTCCCGGGACAGCAGGCCGTGCTCGCTGTCCACGCTCCAGAACTCCAGCGAGGGGTGCGGGGCCGAGGCCGGCAGGCGCAGCGGGGGCAGCGCCATGGCGTGCGCGTCCGGGGGCCCCGCCGAGACCGCGCGGGCGAAGGTGCTCTCGGCCCGCTCGTCGGCGGCGAGCGAAGAGGGGGAGGGGGAGCGAGGAGGAGGAGGCCTTCTCTTAGGGGAGCCACAACTGGCATGACAAGGTGAAGCTCGGAGGCCCGCGCGGACTTCTCGGGTCCGCGCTGGACCCCCCTGCCTGGCGCGCGGAGCGCGCCAGGGGCGGCGCCGGAGGCGCCGCCAGGGGGCCCCAGCGCCGATCCGAGAAATTCGCGCGGACCTGGCGGGTTTTTATGTTTGTGTCATTCTCCGTTCCCCTGTTCTCAGAAGGCTCGGAAGTCTCGTGGCCTCCTGAGAAGCTTCCCAAGCCTTCCCCGAAGTCACAGAGGAACCTCTCAGAAGGCCGAAGCGCTTCCGAGACAGTCCCACCGCCTTCTGAGGAGGCCTTCTGCTTCTCACTTCCCCCCCTCGCTCGCCGCCGAGCTCGGTCAGCCGAGCGCGCTCGGTGTCGGTGATGTGCTGCTGCAGGAAGTCGAAGGTGGTGCCACCCGAGCCCAGGCCGTACGAGATATTCCCGGGCCTGAGGATGAAGTTCTTGATGTACGTCCAGTGCTGCCACCTGAAGTCGAGGACGCGGGATATGCAGCGGTTGAAGGACCGCACCGCCGCGGAGTGTTGGTCCTCGCCAGCACCATCGCTCGGCTGGGCGAACATGAGGCGCTCCCGAATGGAGGGCTGCCCGCGCAACTCCGCGAGGAACTCGCGGTGGCCGAGGGGCATCGAGAGCTCGAACTGGTCAAGGGCCTCGCGCAGCTTCTCCGACGTCATCTTGATGCCCAGCGCAGCGTCTACGGCTGGGAGCAGCGTGCTCATGGCCCCCGACGGCCCGTTCAGGGAAAGTGCGCTCGGCCCCGAGTCGCCCTCGAAGACCAGTTCGCCGGACTTGATGAGCGGCCTCAGGATCGTGTAGAACACGTCGGGGCTGCACTTGGGTGTGCCGGACGTGTCTCGCTCGTACATGATGGGCAGGCACGCCCGCACGACCCGCCACATCGCGTCCTCGAGGGCGACCAGGTGCTCCAGCAGCTCCGACTCCTCGCCCGACCGCATGGCACCGATCAGAGCCGAAACCACGTGCGACGCCTCCGACTCGATGACGACGTGCGTCTTGAAGAACCACTCCTCGTCGAGCAGGCCCGTGAGCCGCATCGCGCACCTGACGTTCGACATGGATATCGGGCCGCACGGGTCGATGCTAGGGTAACGAAAAATTGCATAAACATAACTACTCGGAGGTCCGCGCGGATTCCTCGGATCCGCGCTGGACCCACCTGGCGGCGCCTCTGGCGCCGCCCCTGGCGCGCGGAGCGCGCCAGGGAGGGGGGTCCAGCGCGGATCCGAGAAATCCGCGCGGACCTCCGAGTTTTTATGTTTTTGTCGTTCTTCGTTCCCCTAGATGCGGACCCAGTTGTAGAGCACCGAGGAGGCGTAGTCGATCATCGGTGGGCGCTGCAGCCGGCCGCTGAGGGCCAGCAGGGGCTCCTGAGGGGCAACGACAAGAGGGGATAGGGATAGCGGGGGGAAGCGTCGACCTGGAATCGGAGATACATCGCCGATAGATCGGCGATAGGCCCGCGACAGTGAATCCGCACCTTCCTGGGCAGGTTGGGGCTTTCTCGCCCCTATCGGCGATCAGTGGACGATTGGGAGTCGATGCATCCCCCCCCTGTGCCCATCCCCCCCCATCGCTGCCCCCAAGCTCCGCGAGGAACGCGGGCAAGCGCGCGGCCGGGCAGGCGTCCCTCCCGCAACTGCCCCCCTGCTGGCCGTCGCCGCCAGCGGCACCGGCGCACCGCGAGACGTCGATGCCCTGGGTGTACTCCTGCGTGCCCCCACGCCAGTAGGCCACCACGGTGCGGCTCGGACGAGAAAGGAGGAGGAGGAGGAGGAGGAGGAGGAGGAGGAGGAGGAGGAGGAGGAGGAGGAGGAGGAGGGGGGGAGGAGGAGGAGGAGGAGGAGGAGGAGGAGGAGGAGGAGGAGGAGGAGGGAGCGATGATGCCGATGATGCAGGCCCAATACTATACACCACCACCACCACCACCACCACCACCACCACCACCACCACCACCACCACCACCACCACCACCACCACCACCACCACCATGCCCTCTCCCTCCTCCACTCTCAGCTTCCTCTTCCTCTCTCCTGGGAGAGGGAGGGGATGAGGGAGGTGGTGGTGGTGTATACCTTTGGGCCCCTTAGAAAAGGGAGGGGGGCAGCAGAAGCCGTGCCCGAGGCCTCCAAGAAGAGGCCACCATACGAAGCCTAGCAGCGGAGACTGGTGGTGTATACCTTTGGGCCCCTTCGAGAAGGGAGGGGGGCAGCAGAAGCCGTGCCCGAGGCCTCCAAGAAGAGGCCCCCATACGAAGCCTGGCAGCGGAGACGCGGAGGGAGAGGGAGAGCAGCCGGAGAGCACTGCACGCAGGTGGCACGACGAGATGCGACACACAACACGGACGACATCGGAAGCCGCACAGGTCCTCTCTCAGGAGGTCGGCGGAGTGCCGTGCGCCTCTCGAGCAAAAGGGGAAGGGGTACCAAATCAGCTCGCGCAGCTGCCTCGCCCTGGCGGCTCCCGGCGCCGGCGCCTCTGCAGGACGTGGCTCGCCTGCGGGGCCGAAGCCGGCTGTGCGCGGCGGATTTCGCACGACTCCCGCCCACAGTCCGCCCCCCTCATTCGTCCGACCCGCATGGTGTAGCCGACGACTGCGAAGGCGCGCTCCGCCTCGTCGTCCGACAGCAGGCTCACGTCGCTCGCGGCGGCCCTCAGCTGCCGCTGCAGCTCCACGTCCGAGTCCAGCAGCGCCTTCAGGTCTCCGCCGACGCCGAGCGCGGGGAGGTCGTCGGCCAGCTTCGCGAATGCCTCGAAACCAGTGCCGTGGAGCGCCTCGAGGCCGACGGGGTCGCTGCGGGGCAGGAAGCCGTGCTCCTCCACCCTCCAGACGCCGCGCTCGTCCGCCCTCGGGGCCGCCTCGCAGAGATCGGCGGAGGAGGTGGCCCTGCCCCCGGTCAGCGTGGCCTTGCGCCCCACGAGCGCCCCGCCCCCGGCGTTGTGCGGCTCGTCGTCGCGCTGCACCCTGCCCACGCGCAGCCTCCGCATCTCGCGCCTCGCCAGCGCCGAGTGCCCGACGGACTCGAAGGCATCGGTGGCGTCGCGCCCCGCGAAGGACAGGAGGAGCATCCTCCCGCCTGGGTGGTCTTCCAGCCAGGGCGTGACGTCGAACACCTCGCCGCCGATCACCAACCAGGCGTCGTCCGCCCGAGCGTGCCGCGAGGCCTCCGCCCACGAGATCCGCCGTCCGTGCTGCGCAGCGGCTGGTGCGCGTCGAGCCCATTATTTTGTCAGCTTCGCGCCCCTCAGGCTTCCCCCCTCTGGGCCCTGAAGGCTTCCCTCCACCCCCACTGTGGGCCTCAGGGCCCTCCTCTGAGCCCCCCGAGCTACCCCCACCCCGCAGAAGTGTGCGCGGGCGCGCGAGCGTAGCAGCGCACGAGCGCGCTGGACGTGGAGATGGCTGAGGCCCTTCCCGCGAGCCTGGGGGCCGCTGTCTGGGCTGCCGGGGCGCTTCCCAGGGGCCCAGCAGGGCGCCGCCTGGGCCCGAGGACTCCCCCAAGCGCGGCGGCGGACGGCGCGCGGCAGCGCGGCTGGACGTCACCCTCGCCCCCGTGGGGCGCCTCGGAGAGCTCCTTGGCGGCGCGCAGAGGGGGGCGGGGTTTGGGGGAGGGGGGAAGGCTTCTCAGAAGCGCCCTGCTCCTCAGAGGGCGCGGGCCCTGCGTCTGCAGACCGAGGCCCGCGACTTCGGAGAAACAAGGGGGGGTGCTTCCGAGGCGCCTCCCCCCTCCCCCCCGTGCCCCCGCCCACCCCCTCTGCGCGTGCCCGACTTCCGCGTGGCGCCGCCGCCTGCGGCGCCTCTCCCAAGCCACGGCCGCCGCGCCGAGCGCGGTGCCACCGGCGGCCGCCGCGGCGGCCGCGAGGGCGAGGCGCCGCGCCGCCGCGGCCCCCACGGACCACGGCATGGCGTCGAGGAGGCCCGTCAGCCGGAAGCTTGCCCGCGGCAAAGGGGGCTCGAGCCCGAAGAGCTCTCGGATCGGCACGAACAGAACCTTTCGGAGCGCGGGAGGGGGGGAGGAGGAGGAGGAGGAGGAGGAGGAGGAGGAGGAGGAGGAGGAGGAGGAGGAGGAGGAGGAGGAGGAGGAGGAGGAGGAGGAGGAGGAGGAGGTGGAGGAGGAGGAGGTGGAGGAGGAGGAGGAGGAGGAGGAGGTGGAGGAGGAGGAGGAGGAGGAGGAGGCCCACAACGTTGTTAGCCGTCTTTGGCCGCCTGGGTGGCCCTCGCCGCCGCGCGGCCAAGCTCGCCTCGAGATGCTGGCCAGACCGGACCCGGGGGGAGGTCCGCGGAGTAGCGGTGTCGTTTTCTGTCCAGGGGGGCTGCGCCGGGGCCGCCCGCGAGCCCTGGCTGCCCCGTGCGGGTTCCGATCGGCACGGGCGCAGCGGTGGCACGTTCGTCGGGGGTTCGCGTGGCTGCAGCAGGAGCCCCCCAGGCTCGAAGATCCCGCCTCTGCTTCCGAAAGGGAAGGGGCCCAGGGACGCACATATAGATAGACACACATCCCAAGATTCTCTATATATTTTGAAATATTTGTTGCAGCTTTGTCTTTCCCCCCCCCCAATTTCCCATAGTTTCCTGTATCTTCCGTGCGAAATCGACGATTCATTGTCTGCGTGTGTGTGTGTGTGTGTGTGTGTGTGTGTGTGTGTGTGTGTTTTTCCCTCCGGAGAAAAACGAATCTGCGCAGGCAGTGTGCACGGGCGGCCGCCGAGCTGCGGAAGAGCCAGAGGCGGAGCGCGCCAGAGGGCGCGCCAGATGGGTAGCCCCCAAATGCTCCAAAAGCCCCCAAATGCTCCAAAATTTGGACCCCCGTTCTGCTCTCTCGTCCTGCTCCTCCTCCCTCCTCGTGCTCCTCCTGCCCCTCTTCACTCCCTCCTCCTGCTCTTCCTCCTCCTCCCTCCTCCCTCCTCTCTCCTCCATCCTCCTCCCTCCTCCTCCTCCTCCCTCCTCCTGCTCCTCCTCCTCCTCCCTCCTCGTGCTCCTCCTGCTCCTCCTCCTCCTCGTGCTCCTCCTGCTCCTCCTAGGCTTGGGGACTTCTAGAAACCTGTGGAAAATCACAGAAGCCGGTGAGAACATCACCAACCAGCACATACGTACCGAATTGTTATATCCTCGTCCCCCCTCTCCGTCCCTGTCCCTCCCCATCCTCCTCCTCTTCCTCCTCCTCCTCCTTTTCCTCCTCCTCCTCCTCCTTTTCCTTCTCCTCCTCCTCTTCCTCCTCCTCTTCCTCTTCCTCCTCCTCCTTTCAAGCTGTATGGCAATCCGGTGAGAACCTGTTCAATCTAACGCACATGGGCACTCATGGAACGCAGTTTTGCGATGTGGAACGGGCCCCGCCGATCCTGCGCAAACTTCGCGCCGAGTGAAAAGGCGTTACAACAAACATACGCCCATTAGTCTACAGCACGTATGCGCAGAACAGGCCGCGACCGCCAAAGTATGGCTCGTCCGGTCGGCTATAGCCCGTGGGCTCGCGAAGCGGGCTGGGCCTACTGAGGGGCGCGTATGCATGTAGCTGCTTTGAATTGGAGCTGCTGTAGTTTGGAGGCTCGCCTGGGCGTCATCTGTGGCGTTGGAAATGGAATAATCAGATCGTGTAGCTGCAAATGAGAACAAACGAACTACGAACTTTGACAGCTCAGATGGATGGCAAAGCTGGCGCGCTTGTTTGAGAAGGCGGACGAACCGAATGAGGATGATGTAATCGATGGAGGAGGGGCATCGGGAGGGGGGGTGAGGGGGTGAGGAGGATCATTAGAACAAGGATGGGGAGGAGAGAGGGAGAGAGAGAGAGAGAGGCAGAGAGGGAGAGAGAGAGAGAGAGAACTATGAATATTATGATGACGATGGCGATGATGATGACGATGGAGAAGACAATGCTGTCGAGCACAAAAATGATGACGCGCAAGGAAAATGAGAAAGGCGGAGCATGACGATGATGACGGTTACGATGATGACGGTGACGATGTTGATGCTGTTGCTGACGAGTATGATGGGGATGCTCGTGCTGCTGATTATGATGGTGATCGTGAGGTCGGATGGGGTACTATATGAGAGATACATGCATCTACTGTTGATGCTGGTTCGGGAGGAATGAGGATGGTAATGTTAAGGATGATGGGCATGAGGAAACGAGGGATGGAGGAGGATCACGAAGATAATGATAACTCTGGCAACGGCGAGTAAACATGCCAACATGCCCCCCGCTCGTTGGGTGGCGGGACGCTCCTCGACCATGCTGTTCAAATGGTACCACGTCCATTTGTCCGCGCACCCCGCTCGACGGGGGCGTTGCATCCCAACCGTGTTGAGCCGCGACTCCAACGAAATCCGGATTCCGTTCCCTGGCTTGCCTCCTGGTCCTCGTCGTCCTCCTCAACCCCGTCCCCTTCCTTTCTCCTCCTCCTATTGCTCCTGCTGCTCCTCCTCCTCCTCCTCCTCGCCCCTGCTCCTTCCTCTTCTTCCTCCTTCTCATCGTCGACCTCATGCTCCTCCTCTTCCCTCATGCTCTTTCTCGTCCCCCAAAACCTCCTCCTCGTCCCTCCTCCTCCTCCTCCTCCTCCTCCACCTACCTTACCCTGTCCCTTATGGTCGTCGTCGTCGTCGTTCTCCTCCTCCTCCTCCTCCTCCTCCTCCTCCTCCTCCTCCTCCTCCTCCTCCTCCTCTTCCTGATTCTCGTCCTTCTCCTCCTTCGCGTTCCCCTCCTCCGTCGTCATTTTTCTCGTCTTCGTTGTCCTCGTTTTCCACCTCGTCATTTCCTCCTGCCTCTGCCGAGCTTTCGCGCTCCGGTCTCCTGCTTCTTGCGTTCCGATGCGAGACGGGGGACAGGTCAATGTCCAGACCGCTCATGGCAAACAAACTTCCCACAAGTCTACCTGCCTATCGGTCCCCGTTGCCCAGCCGGCGCGCGCATCGGCCTCCTTGGCCAGACGCTGCACGACCTGATTCGACGTGAGAAGAGGAGGTACGATTCGATACGATACGACGCGCTTGCGATTCACTTGCCGTCTGAGCTGCTACACAAGTCAATGCAAAAAGAGAAGCAGCGCCTGGAATTTGCAGCAGAGCTTGGCTCAGTGTTCGCTTTTGTGGGCGACTGTCCAGTCGCTCTGCAGGGGGATCCCCCTGAGAAGAGGAGGGGCGGAATAGGAGGAACATGGATTCGCGGGGAAAGCAAAAGCGGCGGCAGTTCGGCTTTCAACACACGAATAGCGGCGTGCCAGCCACGCCGCTCCCTGCGGGGTGGGGGGGGGCCAGAGCCTAACAAAATGTGAGACCATTGTGTCGACGGCTCTCCCTTTCCTCCTCCCTCTTCCTCTCCTGCCCTCCCTCCCTGCCTACCTCCCTTTGCCTCGTCGCCGAGGAGGGGCGGATGGCTGTCAACGTCGCGCTTTCGTCTGCGACTTCCTCGCGTTCCGCAAATCCTGCGGCCTGGGTTTTCCAATGGCTGCGCCGCTGGAGGGCGGGCAGTCTTCAGCATCGCGGTCTCGCTGTGGGATCGTCTCGCCCTCGGAACCGAGCAAGTCCAGCAACCGCGCGACGCGAACACTGCAGCTCCACCCGTGCTGGCCATGATGGCCGCCCCCCGGGGTGGCCAGTACAGCGGAAACAAGTGACACGCCTCCATGTGCCCACCAGATCCGCGGGCGGAAAACTGCTCCTCTGCTAGTCGCGCTGCGGCCTGCCAAGCGTCGCGCTCTCGCCGTGGTGCCGCGCGCATCCTTCTCGTGCCAACTGCGCGGGCGTGGGCGGCCTTCCGTGTGTCGGTCTTGTGGGCGGCCCAACCGGGCGTGTGGGATTCTTACCCCTCCGCATTCCCCCCCCCCCTGGGGCCCCCAAAATGGGAATTGGTCCCCCCCCCCCGAGCCCAGGGTGATCACGGGACGAACGCGCCATGGGGGGAATAGAGGACTCCACGGCGGGCCTAGAGGGCCCCAAGAGGTCTCCAAGACGGTGCAAGAGGGCCCCGAGTCGACGAGCGATCGTTCCAAGACGCCCAAAATACTCTCCAGGCAAATCAAAATCGTCCCAAGACGCCCGAAAAGGCCTCCAAGAGGCTTCCCAAGAGGGCCTTAAGAAACAACAGTCGCACCCTTCCCGCCGCAAAACGTATATTCCTGACGTATGCGCCTCTTGGGCTTTCACAGGGTGTCCACGACGGCCCAGGTCCCCAAGAGCGCTCCAAAACGGCCCCCAAACCCCAAGACGGGCCAAAAAAAACCCAAAACGGCCCAAAAGGGCCCCCCAGACGGCCCCAGCTCGGGGCCAAGAGGGGGAATCCCATTTCGAGCCTTCGGCCCCGCCCCCAAAAAATAACTCAAAGAAGCCCCACATGACCCCCCCCGCTCGGGGTAGTACTACTACGGCTGCGGAGACTTCTCCTCGCACAACTGCTATTACTACTGGTTCTACTACTGGTACTACTACAACTACTGTAAATACTATTGCTGCTGCTGCTGCTACTACTACTACTACTACTACTACTACTACTATTACTACTACTATTACTACTACTGACTACTAGTCGTAGTACTACTACTACTACGACTACAATTATTGACTCGTAACTACTACTGCTACTACTACGGCTGGTACTACTATTACTATTATACCCACTACTACTACGCCTACTAATACTGCTGCTACTAATACTACTACTACGACTACTGCGACTACTATCACTAACAAATGAAAACCACCACCGGTACCACTACCACTACAGCTACTACTACTACTGTTACGACTACTACGACGACGACGACGACGACGACGACGACTACTACTACAACTACTACTACTGCTACTAATGTAACTACTGCTGCAGTACTGCTACGAATGCGACGACAGCTACGACTACTACTACCACGACGACGACGACGACTGCGACGACTACTCCTACTACTACTCTGACTACAACTACTACTGCTTCTCGTACTACCAATACTAGTACCACTACGACTACTACTACCACGGGTACTACTGCTACTACAACTACAACAACATCAACACCTACTTCTACACTTCTACTACTACTACTACTACTACTACTGCTACTACTACTACTACCACTACTACTACGACTACGACTACTACTACTACTACTACTACTACTACTACTACTACTAGTACTACTACTGCTTCGAGGTACTGCTACTACGAGTACTACTATTACAGCCAGATCTATTTCTACTCGTGCTACTACTACTACTACTACTACTACTACTGCTGCTGCTGCTGCTGCTGCTACTACTACTACTACATCTCTCACGACTTCTACTACTACTACTACTACTACTACTGCTGCTGCTACTACTACTACTGCTACTACTCTTGCTCCTACAACTATGCGGGTTACTCCCCATTGCTACTACGACTGCTGTTGCTACTACTACTGCTCGTTCGACGACTAATTCTACAACTGCGACGGCGGCGACGGCGACGGCGACGGCGATGGCAACGGCGACGACGACGACGACGACTACTACTACTACGAGAAACAATAGTAGCAGTAGAGGTAGTGATAGTAGTGTAGAAGAAGAAGTAGCAGTAGTAGTAGTAGTAGTAGTAGTAGTAGTAGTAGTAGTGGTAGTAGCAGTAGTAGTAGTAGTAGTAGTAGTAGCAATAGTAGTTGTAGTAGTGGTCGTAAAAATGGTAGTGGTCGTAGTAGAAATAGTAGTCGTAGTCGTAGTCGTAGTCGTAGTAGTAGTGGTAGTAGTAGTAGTAGTAATAGTAGTGGTAGTAGTAGTAGTAGTAGTAGTAGAAGTAGTAATCGTAGTAGTCGTCGTCGTAGTAGTAGTAGTAGTAGTAGTCGTACTAGTAGTCGTAGTAGTCGTCGTAGTTCTAGTCGTAGTCGTAGTCGTAGTCGCAGGCGTCGTAGTAGTAGTTGTAGTAGTAGTAGTCGTAGTAGTAGTAGTAGTAGTAGTAGTAATACTAGTAGCCGTAGTGGTAGTAGTAGTAGTAGTAGTCGTAGGAGTGGTCGTAGTAGTAGTAGTGGTGGTAGTAGTAGTAGTAGTAGTAGTAGCAGTAGTAGTAGTAGTAGTAGTAGTAGTGGTAGGCGTGGTCGTAGTAGTAGTAGTAGTAGTAGTAATCGTCGGAGTAGTAGTCGTAGTAGTAGTAGTAGTAGTAGTAGTAGTAGTAGTAGCAGTAGTAGTAGTAGTAGTAGTAGTAGTAGTAGTAGTAGTAGTAGTAGTAGTAGTGGTAGTAGTAGTAGTAGTAGTCGTAGTAGTAGTAGTAGTAGTAGTAGTAGTAGCAGCAGTGGTAGTAGTAGCAGTAGTAAAAACAGTAGTAGTAGTAGTCGTAGTAGTAGTAGTCGTAGTAGTCGTAGTGGTAGTAGTAGTAGTAGTAGTAGTAGTAGTAGTAGTAGTATAGTAGTAGTAGTAGTAGTAGTAGTAGTAGTAGTAGTCGTAGTAGTCGTAGTAGTAGTAGTAGTCGTAGTAGTAGTAGTAGTAGTAGCAGTAGTCGTAGTAGTAGTAGTAGTAGTAGTAGTAGGTAATCGCCTCCTCCTCCAGCGCCTCCGCCTCCTCCTCCTCCTCCTCCTCTTCTTGTCCTCCTCCTCATCATCATCATCATCATCACCATCATCATCATCATCATCATCATCATCATCATCATCATCATCATCAACATCTTCATCATCATCACCATCATCCGTTCCTGTCGTCCTCCTCCTCCTATCCTCTTCCCCGCCTTCTCTTTGGATCGATTTGTAGGCCCGCTCCTCGTCATTATCCCGCAGGACGGCCCTTGTGTGACTCTCTCTGTCCCCACAACTCCGCCGACCCGTTGGGGCGTCATCGGCGCGTGAGGTGCCCCCCACGCTACAGGCCCCTCCCACGGACCTGGGTCCGGTTGATTTGGAGGGTGGGCATCCCTTCCAGGAACGCTCCTGGCGACGTTTGGTGGCCTCCATCCAGAAAGCCCACGACGGCCCTAGATTGCCGCCACGTGGCTCCGAGACGCCCCACGTGAGTCTCAAAACAGGCCAGGATGCCCCGAAGACGCGCACTGCGGCTTCAATGAGACTTCCACGGAGGCCCCAAGAGGCCAAACCTCAAACATTCCATCAGGAAAACATTCTTTTGTAATCGCCGGCTGGGCAAGCCAGAGGCGTGCGAAGACCTTGGGTAACAGGTCAAAAGGCTAACGCATTACCACAAACTGTGGTAAGCGGTCCCGGGGAAAAACATCAGGGCGTCGGCGGATGTGGCGTGAGCCTGTAGTATCTTCCAACTTCGCCG